TTAGTCAGGCCCTCCTGGGGTTCTCATAGCAATGAAAATCATGCCAGCTGGTCACCTGAATGGGGGAACGAATTTCCAGGTTTGTGTTTAATAGTCTGTTACATTAAATATATTCTTCATTCTTTACTTTTTAAAGTAAACTTTAGTTTGGTACATATTTTTTATGCATATGGAGCTAATTTTCTCTCACTTTGCAGCTTCTGTTGTGGAGGCTGTGATGAAGTACGGGAAGAAACTTTTTCCAGTAGATGAGAACAGGCGTGACACCTACAACCCTTCATCGACTTGCGAACTTGAGCAGCCTATCTTTTTCACCTTGGATGAAGAATTAAAGCAACTTATTCCGGTGTGTTTTGTGTGTGTTTATGTGCAATTATTGCCATTAATGCATTAGTTAAACGATTACATTAATATCAAGAGTTATATAGATGGAATGTCTGATCAACCTTAAATTCGTCAAGTATGAATAAAAGAATCCTAATATTTCTTTTGTGAATAATAAATTGTATAAGGAATTCTGGTGCAAGAATAACTAGATTTGTGCTGGTAAATTTGACCCTGTTTTATGTTTTATATATAAAGCCAAAATGGTTTTGAACATTCTAAGATATCATATTGATTGTAAAGAAAAGAAAAGAAAAAAAATCAGGATAATTGCGTAATGATAGCTAACAATCAGGATCACATGGGTAGAATAGATTACTTGATACCTTGTATAATCATGGCAATCTCACTGACTAATGGTTTTTATCTCCTCAATTTTATTTTCTTGGTTAACTTCTTTATCAATTACAAAATTTACCCTTTGATAACCTTTTCCTTTCCCCTTTTCCAATGTGTATCAGGTTGGTCTGAGTGTAGAAAATGGTTATGCTACAAGCTTGGCACGTTTTGCTGCATATCTTGGACCTGTTCTTTGGAAAATTGCTTCAAAGAAAATTGAAAGTGTTTTGCCTAGTGGACTGAAGTTTGGTCCTGGATGGGTTGGAGAAAACAGGACAGCAGAGCAGCCACAACTTTCTTTTTCTGAAAAGCAGAAATCTTCAAATTCTCTTTCTGTTCACCATTTTAGCAGGCCTTTTTCTCCTCCAGCTACTTGTGGTTCAAACTCTATTGCTGGAAGTAGATTTCCTTTGCAAGGTAGAGAAGACACAGAAACTGTCAGAGGACTAAGTTCGCAAAATGACTTCACTTCACTTTGTAGCGAAGTTGGTGACATTAAGTCTGCACCTCCTCATCAGTTTCAGCAGAGACCTTTACTGCACTTGGGTATTAATGGTTCTATTGGTGGATTCGGGATTGGTTATCCTTCTCAAATGGGATTGGTAACACAGTCTGACAAAACACATGGCATGGTTTTGGGTAGCAGCTCCGCCATGTGCCCGATGCCTGCAAGTGATTTTCTTTCAAACGAGGCTAAGTTTGCTGGTAGTTCAAGTACTTTACGTTCTGGAAATACAATGGCTGTAGGCCCTGACCTGGCCTCACTTACGGCAACTAATGATGGGCTTGTGCGGAAATCCTCTAATAAACAAGGTTTCCTTCCATTTACCCCGGATCTTAATGTGATATTCCTGGCACCAGGTTCACCCAGTTCTAGTGTACCAGATGGTTCACCCCAGCACCCAGATTTGGCATTGCAACTCTGATAATTGGCAGCATTATTTCCATATGATTTGACATAACGTAATTTGGTGCCCTTTATTTTATCGAATATAATTTTTAAATTCAAACAAAAAAAAAAACCGTAAAATTTAGTTTAAACTTGAGGGAATGATTTAAAAGCAAAACAGTCGTGGACGTTGAAAGCACCATCGTTAATGCCCAATCTGGAGGTCTTGCGGTTGCATCCGTCCATGTCTTCCGTTCCAATTCCAATGCAAAATAAATGCTACCCAAATTGAAAAGCCTGATGGAACATCAATTCTTTGCTCAGCTTTTGGTTAGCCTTCAACTCGTAATCTCATTCCAATTTTCCCCCAAAGACATGACTCCCTCGAGCATGATTAATAACGTTATCATCATCCACCGTCTTGATATGGTGGAAAAAGACCTCCACATTTCTCATTTTCCAATCACTTGGGTCAATAATTTGCAGGTCACTTCTTTCTAATCACATTGAGAATAACATCGGGGAGTGGCTTATCATGCTTTATAAACTAAGTTAAATTGAAATTAATTTGCAGCACAGGAAACCAAACAACGCCTTCCCGTTTTTTATCCTAGATTTCAATGATTTCTAATACAAATTTTTCGATTCAAGGTAAGATTAATCTTCCATCTCCAATACACTCAATTTCTTTTTGAGATGTCACAAAATGAATTTTTCTTTCTAAATACTTCATTTTTTTAAAATTTTTGTCAAATTAAAAAATATTGAATATGTATATAATATAAAAAAAAATTAAATTTTAACATAAAACGTATCAAACTTAAAATTTTTATGTCAATTGAAAATCAACACTCATCAAGAGTTTTCCCCTTTCCACCATCATTAAATCATGCTCAATTGATGAGCTTAATCCAATGGGGATGCAGTATCAATCAAGCCAGATTCTTTGCATACAATTAATTAACTATGAAATGAAAGCAAGTACACATCCTCAAGAAAAGAAATTCTTTTGATCTGTTCGGGTCAATCAGAAAAGTAAGAGAATCAAAGTGCCTATCTGTCCCCAAAAAGGGGGAAAAAAATTCCTTTCTCTGATCTTATTGTTACCTTGAAAGGAATAAAAAATTGAGTTCAAAAAAAAAAAACCACCTTGGCTTAAGTCTCAAACTATTAACATCAATTTTACACTGTTTGTCACCCCTCCCTCCCAACCAAATCTACGCCAAAAAGGAAGAAAATTTTGAATCTACTGCTATGGCTGTGTGGCTGTCTCTATCACCATGGCTCTGCATTGTTCATCTTTGCCATGCCATCTTTAACCCCTCGGGCGTTTGAGAAGTGAACCATCTTTGGGTCAAAAGCTTTAACCTTTCATCTTTCACATCACAGAACATATTTTCCCAGTTTTCTGGTTTGATGGGCTGGAACCCTAACCCCGGGGTCCGGTCCTTGGAGTTTGGATTCACCCCTGTCCTCCAATCCGCAACGAAAGCTGAAACCCTTCGTCGAAACTTGGTCATGAATTCAGGCCAAGCTTGGTACTTGTAATGGTTCACCGCGGCCACGTCCAGTGGCAAGTCTTGCCAGCTGTAGTAACTGTTGTTCAAACCGAAGTGATGGATGACGTTAAGCAACGAATAATCAATGGCGTCTAACAGAACTATCGATTTGTGCCGTTGCTCGACTCGTCTACGACAGTTGTAACCTTGTATCACCCCTTCCGCCGGATGCTCCTTTTGTTCCGACGGTCCGAAATCGTTGCACTTGATCGAAACTTGTCCGATCGGTCGGTTGGTTGACGATCGCAACAGAGATGGAAGCATGGCTTTGGATGGTTGAGAAGAATTTTTAAGCCACGACGGTGAAAATATAAACTCATCGACATCGACATACATCATCCACGTGCATGAATCTTTACCGTAAACCGTGCTGTGAGAGAATCCCGCTTCTTGAGTCTTCGGCCATACCCAGAAAATCCTTTCGATGTTATAATCTTCTTCGTTAAGCTCCTTTATCACCCTCTTTAGATCATCATCGCTTTCGTTATCGTATAAGAAGAACTTGTCGACACCAATCTTGGAATGGTACATCACCCATTCTCTCAAGAACTTCGCCACGTTGTAAACCATCGTGGTGGCGCACAAGAGCGATTTCGGCTTTGGGTTTGCCGGCGTCCGCCTGGAACTAGGACTGTAATATGCAACCGAAGGGATGACTACCTTTTGTCTGTTGATTTCGAGGGACACTTTGATTCTTTCGGCTGTTGAGATAGGAATATTTACCGCCGTTAAATTCGGATGTTGGCACCTGAACACCTCCTGCATTGAGCTGGTAACAGGGGTTTTAACGGCGCTGTTTTCG